GATCAGGACAAAAAGAGAGCGAATCTTTTTTCCTGAAACTTTCAGAATCTCTTTACACAGAGGGGACACATGTTTATGTATAAAAGACAGGAAAAGGTGGATTTTGCACAATAGGTGACCTTTAAATGATTATAATCACACTGAAAAACACACTTCTGTTAGCCCACATCACTTCAAGCGCAACCTGCTAAGCACTGATCTTGTAGACAGACGAATTCCTGTCTTAAATAGTTTTGTATCACCAAGGAATGTCAGATCACAAAGCTGGTCATTTTATCATCTGGGAGGGCTTGGGTGTCTTGATATTAAACATAATTGATTACACAGTATATGATAAGAAGATGTCAAGTTAATTGGTAAAGGTTTCTGAATTGTAACCATGGAGCGACTATCTAGACATTCCTGTGGAGATAAAGCAGACAGTCTTTTAAAGAAATGTGTGTGTGTGCCAGCGTGCGTGCGTGCGTGCGTGTGCGTGCGTGCGTGCGGGCGGGCGTGCGTGCGTGTGTGTGTATGTTTGAACATTGAGCAGTGATGTCAGTGTGTTGCACCACCACATCTCAAAGCAGGGTCTGAGGTGTGATGGGAACTGGCTTCTTATACTTTTACTATAACTTTTCTTCAGGATTTATAGAGTTTCTCATGAGAGATCACCAGACCTTGTTTCTTCTCCTCCAGGATCTGTTGGTGTTGTTGGACCTGATCGGGGGCCCGAGCCCGAGCTTTGGCAACCAGTTCCCCAGCACATCACACTGGCTCTCTAGGCTGCAGAGCATCGGTGAATAATCAAAAGTTTTCCTACTATTGTACACACTGTGAAGAACTGTTTACTATGGTGAAGGTGTGCCACAAACATGAGTCACCTTTATCATGAGTCATTAATAAGTCAGTCATATTCAGACCATCATCATCGCTTAAGGGCAAATGTGGCAACTGTCAAATGATTGTGCATTTGTCACATTGAAGCTCTTGTGTTTGTGTGATTGCACTGTTTAGATTTTGCATATAGTGGATATATTGTGTATTTTCAGCTTAAAGAATTTATGGAGGATTAAAATGCTATTTCCTCACTCATTTTTAGCAAGATAGATTTTTGTCCTTGGTTTTTCCTTTTTTTTGAGTGGATCCGATTTCCTTTAAAAACAATTATGTTATTAATCAGAATTTACAAACATTTAATCCATCAAAATGTGGTTACAGTTATGCGATGTGTAAGAAAGGAAAACAAAAGTATCTTGAAAAAACCATAAACACAAAATCAAGCAAAGCAAACTATTCAATTATTCTTTTTACACAATTAAGAAATTATACCTTAGCATGTTTTATTTTTCCTTAATCTGAACTAACTCACTCTTTGTCTTCGCTCTTATATTCTCAGAAAAGCGTTTACACTCCATGAACCAGCTTGTGGATCATCCTGACAGCGTGCAATATTTCTGGCCCAATATACCGGTTGGTCACGTTCAAGATGATCATATACCATTCCTAAACAGAGGTAAACCCAACAAAGTAACACAAATACAGCAAAAATGATGACATATTGTATTTCTCTGTCCTCATCCCATGCTTTTCTCTCAGGTGTGCGCGTCCTCCATCTGATCCCCTCCCCCTTCCCGTCTGTATGGCACACGTTTGACGACAACGAGCAGAACCTGGATCGCGCCACCATTCAGAACCTCAACAAGATCATCCAGGTGTTTGTTCTGGAGTACCTCAACGCCAGACCCGCCGTCCCTTCAAACCCACAAAATGTCCCCTAAAAAGAAAAACAGCATTACATCTTTGACGTTTCACTGTAGTAAAAATCTGTTATTCTACAGACTGTATTTCATGTTGTTTGAACAGCAACAATATGTATCTCTTCTTGATCTTATAATTTAGACGGTGAAACTCAACTCTGTACATCAGATGGCTGCCAGCTGTAAAAAGCATAGAGAATATGTTTAGAGATCTACATGCACATATTTTCATTTCTTGGTACGAACCTATTTCGGGGTATATGAAATGTACTTTCTTCCAAAATAAGACTTCAAGACCCTGACGCTTCATCTTCCCTAGTCCCCAGCAACAACATCAGTACACAGGATCTTTTGTGTGTTTCCTTTTACTGCACTGCTCTCTTTATATCAGCCTAAACCCCCTCCTTTACACTGTGATGAGGCATCTTAGTGTCAATGCTAATGTCTAGGATCGTGTGCCTCAAAGAGAAAGAATAAGAGCAGTGTAGAGGAAATAAAAGAAAACAATAATGTGAACGATTAAAATGCTTTGACACCCTTTATTTTGAGTAGCTATCTTTTTCTAGTCATGTAATACCATCCATAATCTCTGATCTGTGATGTTGTGAGCTACATTTAAACAATATGGTGACACACACAGAAGGTGACATTTCCTCTACAGTAAAAGCTGTCAGGGGCAGGAAGTGGCTTTATATGATCTAACAACATCTTTAGGCCTTCATATCCTGTCATCAAGTGGAATACTTCCTGTACTGGTGTTTCTCCTGCCGTTGTTTATATGATATTATTAGCCTGATCCTAATGTAGATCCCAGAATAATATACAGTGCCAAACTTGGACTTCCTGTATTTTGATGCTGAAATAAATGTTGATTCAGAATACAATCGAGGCCATGAAGAGTTTGCTTATCTTTGCGAGTCTTTGTTTTACTTTGAGTGTTTTGGGAGCTTTGAAAGAAGAAGTTGGTCATTGTGATTATCTAAGGTGACCTTTTGTGTGAGGAAGTGCTGACTTTTTTTGTAATACAATCCTAGCTAGAACAACAATGATAGCGTAACCAATACAGCGCTCAAGTCTTCCTCCCTCTCTCAGCCTTAAAGCTTGGGCCCCCTCCTCCTCCACAGACCAAAACACACTTTCCATCCCTCCGTCTCACCTCCACAACAATCCCATGATTCCTTTAATCCTATCAGGGAGGACCTCCCTTGAATTCCACAACACCCTGATCCTGTTTAATGGAGCCCACTCCCATGAGAACAGAGCGTGGATCAGACTCTCCCATTTGCTGCAGTCAGAGACGTTTGGGAAGCCTGGCAACAATCTACACAAACACACTATTTATCTTGACTTAAAGAAGATAAAAAGTTACTCAAGGGGCATTAATCACCTACAAACTCTGAATGTAAACAATGGTAAAACTTCAGCAACTTGACATACTTTACAGAGATATCTTTGCTTCTTTTTTGTCTTATACTTTGCTAACCATGATCACTCACTCACACACTTCTTGTCAAGTTTTCTATTCAAAGCCTACCTCAGGCATTATACCTGTCAGTCAACACCTATATTACTCGGTTAGGTTTTAATCTTTAATTAACTTTCATGTAAAGAAAGGACTCAAAATATGTCTCGTCTCAGTCAGCATGCTGGAACAGGGAAAAAGTAATTGTCTTATATCACTGTATTGGGTTTCCAACATATTTATGCCAGACAAAAAAGCATGCCAAGGTTTGACAGCAGCCGAGCTTTAATCTGCAGATGATTACAGTGCGGAGAAGCTTCCAGCTGTACCGCAATGGAGTGATAGGAAGGGCCGGGACTCTCCCATGCAAGGTGTTTTCAGATTGTTAGAAAAGAACAAGCCAGGAAAGGTTACTTTATGTTACATACCATAATAGTAAAACTGCCATCTTTTTCCAAAACAGGCTGGAGTTTATCTTATTTAGAATAAGTATTTGGATATTTGGAAATGTATGTACTCTTTACCATGCATAACCTATTGTCATTGACAGGAGAGAAGCACAATCCAAAAGGTTTTTTATTGCTTTATAATCAATCATAATACTAATTATCCAAAGCGACTTACTAGTGCAATAAACCATAAAGATTCAAACTAAGGACAACAACAACAGTGCTGACATATTTACTTCAAACAAGCAATATCATTGTAAATGCTGGTGAATATGTAAAACTAGCTAGTGGACCCTCACAGATGGGGGTGCTGCAGCCCAACAAGCCATTTAGGACAGAGAGTGAATACACATACTATACAGAGATGCTGTATGAGAAACCAATGTGAGTTTGGAAAATTGCACAATATAAATCTATTCTAGTATACCTCAACAATGGAATTATGATCAGTAGAAATGGCCATGACATGGGACCTTTAACAATTAAATGAGATTGTATGACTTGCAAATAACTAAGTTACCAACAGAGGGCAGCAGTGAGTCACATTTTGTTCAGTGAAAAATAAAAGTTCTTCATACTTCTGAAGTAAAAATAGGCATGGGATGGATACATGTATATAAGATGGAGACTGCAAACATGATTGATAAAAACAGTAAAAACACCCTAATGAGTTTTTCATATAAATAAGCCATTATCAGCGTGCTCTAACTCATGAATTCAGAGATAAGATGATTGATGCACGTTGTACAAAATTAAGCACTGACATTCAATCTATTTTAATTATGTTGACAGACTCACATAATCTGTGTTTTTAAAACTTGTTTTGTTCATCCAGGAGCAACAAAATATAAATTGGGCATCATATTGTTTGATATGTACACGCCTCCAGTTTCAAATGAGGGCGGTGAACACGCAGAAACTACCAACATCACACGCTGCATTCAATTCCCCTCCGTAATCTCCGGTATGCATGTCCTAAAACGGTAAACTGTTGACAAAAAGTGTATATTATTGTTGTATGTTCAATTGGTTTTGTTAATAAATGAGTATACAATTAGCTGTTGCAACATAAAGCAGAAAAAGCTTGCTTTGATCAAAAAGAGGGAAATGCATCATCATAATTAGTTTCGGAATTTTCATTAATATCAATGATTACTTAAATAAAATATGAATACAATGAAGGCGATATAAACTATGATATTCTTCCGGTGTGTATGTGGCTGAGACAATTGTCTTTCTTTAGGGCTTGCTTGGCCGTTTTGTTATTTAAGTTGTGATTTTTCCCAGTATTCACAGTCGTACCTGAATGCAGCCTTGATCCCACACTGGAGGAGCTGTGGGGGATTGTGGAGATTGCAGTCCAGCCTCCACTCACTCACGCGTGTACTGAGAGTTTGTTCAGTGAACACAAACAGAGGAGCAGCGCGGACCTGTTGAGGAGAATTTGACAGCAATTTATTTTCTGTTTAAATTGTCGAACCTCTTCGCCAAACTTTGGGACATTTCTGTCGCTGTAATAGCTGTTAAAGTCGCCATGGAGCCGATAACGAAGTGGACGCCAAAGCAAGTTTTCGAATGGATGAGAGGTAAGTCTGGGGAACACTTTGTATGTTACGTTTTATTAGCATGTTTTTTACAGAAAAAAAGCTCATTTACGTATTTACTGCTCTTCTAAAGCTTCTCTTTCTAAACTTTGAGTCGCTCTTCTGTTATCTCGAGCTAGTTTCGTAGAAACTGCTCTTGTGTCACCACATACCTCAACCGAAGCGCTTAACAATGGGACTGCACTTTGTTTAACTCTCATTTAAGATTAAGCAGATTGAGCTATTTCGCTTATGCTAGCTGTTTAAACCCTCTTCATAAATTAATATTATTGCTCATTGTAGCGTTTCAATGTTGTGTTTGTGTCACCTTTTTGCTCAAAGTGACAAGCAATTTACTCCAACACTTTTGAAGAAAATACATGTTTTATTAAGTAACATAGCCTAACCTTTTCCCCCCAAACTTTTTAATGTGAAATTCCTGAAGTCAGTAACACACCACAGAAACTCTTGTCTGTCATTGTTTTTGCCTCAGGGTCTCTAATATAAAACAAGTATTGTGTAACTTAACTAAAGAATGACACTGAACACAGTCATAGCCCGCCTTACTCACTCATTGAACTTAATTCAATCAAATGTGATGTGTGACCAGTACTCATCTTCCCTTTATGTTGCAATCTTGCTCCCTCTGAAGAAGTCAAATGATTTGAATTCAACACACCTTTTAGGGACAATCTGCTTAAGTACTTTGGAGGCTGTGACACTATAACAACACTACCGGTTTCAGGTGCTGAGAGGAATGCCTGCTATGGTCATGACATCAGAACTATTTGAACCAGTGTTCGGTCACAGCCTAGCCATGTCTGGTGAGGGACACCCAATGGTATGTGAAGTGGAAATAGAGAGAGTGCTATTGCTCCAAATACATAAAAGGTGAAGTGTGTGTATACTAAATGGCAAAAAGAGTAATGGGCTGTTTATATGGCCATCGTTGGGACGAAGCCCTCTGCTGTACTGTCATTGTATTGAGAAACTTCCTAAAACAAAACAGAGGACTTCCTTTTTAATCTCATAATAAGTCTTTTGTTGTTGTTTGGGGTTATGGTGGTGTTGTATAGCACAGTCTCTGCTGATTGGCAGCCCTGCCAGTGCTGATCTATAGTTGGGAGCTAAAGGGGATTGTGGAGGGGTTAGTGTCAGTGTGTCCAGTGAAAACAGCCCAGCCATGGCACACATGGATGGGGGATTAGTTGTCTACACGGGGCCCCATTGCTGTCAGTCTTCTGCACATCTGACTCAGCAGTTGTCTCTGTAGGTCTTAACAGTGGATTTACGAATCGAAAAAACACGCTGGAAGTGAACTAACTAAAATGACAGCAGAACATTCTTGGGGGTATTTCATGCAGCCCATTTGAAAACATGGTGCGCTCGAAAGTCAACAGAGCAGATGATTCAGCCTTGCAAAGTCATGACTGAAATGTGACTTTTCACATTGTGGTCAATCAAGGCTAAATGGCCCTTTGCTTTGGTTAGAGGCAGTGTCAGTGGGTGTAGACTGCAGTTACTTTGCAAGAAATTAAATCTGCCTTTAAGCAACGACAGCCACAAAACAAATAAAGCTGAAAATCAAAATAAAGAGCTGCTTGTTGTCAACAGTTAAATCACTCCATTGATGACTAATTGGTCTTATAGCTTTAGGGTCAGTCTAGTCTTAAGAATGTTTTTAGGACTAATATCTTGAGAGCCATTTAACATTGCATAAACATCAATTAGCTTGTCCTTAACAGGGCTTGGTAGACTATTAAAACGTTGAAGTTCCAGCTCTTGCTGGTTTTTAGCATCTTTAGTATGGAAACTAAAAAGCCCTTGTGTTGTCATCAGTGACCACTGCACGCAGCCACAGTATGGCATGTTACCACCACTGATGTTGTTTACCTGAAGAAAACAACTTTGTAATCCTTTCATACCAAAGACAAACAGCATCACACCAAAGTAAAACCCATGTCGAGAGCACGGTCATGACCTGTTCACAGCAATTGCAAACACGGGTGTCGCTAGGTTGTTGCGCCTGCGCGAAAGAAGTCAAATTAAACGCACTGTATGATGATTTTTGCTCTCATTTGACTCAGGTTGTTTTCTTCAGTAGGACAGGGACTGCTTTTGTGTATTGAAGCTGTTGTTAATCACTTGCATTGTTCAGGGAGATCAAGCAGTGGTTGGTGGATGTTGTGAATGAAAGGGCATTTGGTTCTTTCTTTTTGTTATGGGGACTGGAGATGCCCTGAAGTGCATTTCCTTCACCACAAGCTCTGATCTTCCAGCTGGACCTGTGGTGTCCTGTGATAGGTATTCCATATGTCATGAGTAGGTCCCCCAGGCAAATAAGCACTCTTCTAATGACAGCATGGATGTCACAGAACTATGTTCGTCTTTTAACAGTATATACATTACATTTTGTGTTGTTTTTTTTTACACTTCTTTTTAAATGTAGGGTTAGATTTTAAGATTTACACCTAGAGACATTACCCATGTTCTCTAAATCAAACGTTTAAGTTGCTGTTAGCCCAAATATAGTCCTGAATCCACTTAGGTAATGCTTCAGCTAAGAATGGCTGGCACTGTTGAGAGAATGTTTAGCCCAAACTAAGCTGAATAGTTTTTCATTTACACACTTACTTTATGTAGTCACTGGGAGCAAGACTGCCAAGTTTTAACAAGGCATCCCAAACATGCAAACCTGCACAGCTACTGTCTGACTGAGTAGCTTTCATCCAGACTCAGTTCAGCACGCCCTGGAAGTCCTCCAGCATTTTCGAAACTTAAATACTGGCCAATCAAATTTCAAAGCCCTGTAGACATGGACATGGATTAAGCATGTGATGGGTTTATTTTGAGCAAGAATCCATCATTGAAGTCCTGCTGATCAAGTGGCCCAACATCTATCTCATACCCCTATTTGGCACACGTCTATACAAGTCCTGGCTATATTAGTTTATCAGCACTGTAATGGAGCTACAGTTGCATGTCTTTTTTGTGAATGTTGCCTATTACCAGAAGTCTGATATGAATGGTCAGATAAGGGTTGAACACAATTCCTTCCCCACGTCATGTGGATGGAAACACAAGGGTGTGAGTGTCTGTATCCTGCCTCTCGAATGCCACCTAAGTGCCAAAGAGGCAATTAGGTCGACACAAAGGTGACAAACATGTGCTAAGTGCGTTTTGTCTTTGACCGAGGGTGCGCACGGAAAAATAACAGTATTGTGTCTGAGTCAACACGCGCCGATTGATGCCGCTGATGGGTACCTTCAGCAGCCTTATCCGTGGAGGTGATAGTGAGGTGTGGGCAATGATGGCTCGTGATCCTTATCTTGCTAAAAAGAGAGACTTCCCAAACTGGAGTGTGAACAGACGCTGTGCAGACGCCTCACCCCTATTAAGGAATCCATCGCCTCCGCTTTAGTACCGGCGCGATCGGACAAGTGGAGTTCTATGTTTGGATAGCCTCCACAGCCATCATTAATCCGTTTTAGCAAACCTTACACTGCCGGCTGCATGTATATGCATTACGGAGGGCAGTTGGCAAATTAACCTAAACATAGGCTCTAAGAACAGAGGAAATCTGTATGCCCTTTCCAGTGGCCTCATATACAAGGAAGTAACAATTTGCAATAATGTATTCAATTGAAAGACAATCTTCCTTTGACATCCCTTAGTTAAAACCTCTGTCTTTGTCATGTACCAGTTTCATACAGCCATTCAGCTTCTAAAAATCGAGCCATTGTGTTCCATTGCTGAGCAGATAACCGCGTTACCTTTCCATACAAATGCCCCTTAGAGTTCAGGGGAAGTGCTGTAAGAGGATTCCCCCCGGGGAGAGGTCACTGAAAGGGACTGCTGTGGTTTCGCTCCGCTGCCTGTTTCTCACACAGCCTGGTGTCCCATTCTTACAGCCTCAGGAGACGCATATGGAGACCCTTAGAGAAATCATTAATAGTTAATGTCACTCTTCTAATCTAGCGATGAGAAAACCAAGACAAAGCAACTTTAATTTGAAAGAGTTGACATTCACTTGAGCCTAAAAACAATGCGTTGTTGTTTTGTTTGGATCCTCCATGTGGATGAGTGATGATTTTTATCAGTAAACCAAAGTCAGTTTGCATTTGCATGAACGGTTGGTCGTTCATTGCCAGGGAAGGAGACCAAGTGTCACCCTTTACGCACGCCATCCTGGGCTAGACCAGTTTGCTATTTCATTCAAATCTAAAATGTGCATTGCAAATCTCCCAGATGATCTGAGCTTAGCAGGACCTGCAAGCTATTTGGCCGTGCTATTCCCTAAGAGCATTGGCTCTGTGTAAGCCATAGGAATAAACGCTCCAACCTGAGGTGGCACAGCGGGGGCAAGTGCAAACACTGGTCACATGCTGACTGACCTCTCGTGCAGGGATGTCAAGTGCGCGTGCCTGCTCACACTCACTGGTTTGTTAAGGCCATCGTGATTGTGACTGAAGAGTCACTCTCCCTGGGATTTAAGTTTGTAAGATGTAATTAAGTCTAAATGATACTGCACCAAATCTATGCTCGTACATTAATTCAATGTCGTGCAGAGAAGGAAAAGGGAAGTGAATGGCTGTGTTGGTATTGCCTGCAAAGCAAAGCTAATGCAGTTATGCTCAAATAACCACAGAACATGAGAGGAATGCAGCTAGCAAACCAAACGAGCAGCCTTGCGAATAAGCAGTCAAAACAGGTCACACATGTCCTTTGTTGCACTTGGGGCCACCAGTTGCTTTTAACGGATTTAAAGTCAAGTCGACGGTCCCCCTCGCTGACCAAATACACACAGACCTCTTTTATCCTGCCACCAGCTTACACTGTAATGAAGTGTAATGTCATTACGACTATGAAGTGATTTGGAGATTTACGAAGTGCTACCCACTTTTGGGTTTAGCCGGGCACTTGGGTAGATGCCAGATGAGAGCTTGTTCAAAACATGTTCAGACTAGTCCATATTTCCCCAGTCCTCGGCTCCAGAGAGACTC